TCTCTGATTTCTGTAAAACGATCCATGTTCATGGAGCTGGTTCTGATGCCGTGCGCCAGCACTCCGTAGGTTGGGATCCTCACGGCGGCTCCGTTGCCGATGTGGTTTTCCCAGTCCTCGGCAAACTGCCGGAGGGCCTCCATGTCTTTCGTCGTTGCTGTCTTGACGCTTAGGTCGCCGCTCTTGAGTTGATTGGCGGACACGGTCTTGAGCTTGCGGATATGCTCGTTGCTGCTTTGTTCGATGGCGCGGTCTACGTGCGCCTTGAGGCTACGGGGGTTCATGGCTCTTATGCTGGCAATGGTGATAGGGTCTCTAATGTTCACTATGATTTCACGCAGAATCTGGGTCTGGAACGCTCTCTGGTTACAGGGGTTATGCATGCTCTCTGCAAGTCCTCCTCGGGCGGCTACGCTGGCATATGACTGCACGGTGTTCCCCTGATTCATCGGCTCCAATGCTTTGATATCCTTCACGACCTTGACCGCCAGCTCGCTGGCTTTCCAAGCCTCCTTGGCAGCCGCGCTGGCTGCGCGCGTTGTGTTGGTGTTTTCCTTCAGTTCGGCCGTATTCTGCTGCATAGCAATCCTGATGGTTCTCGATTCGCGGATGTTGCTCTCGTGGGCTGTCTTGTTTTCCGCACGTAGACTCTCAATAGCTTGGTGGAGGTGTCCGAGCTCGGGCAATTTCTGCAATTTGGCCAGCAGGGAGATGGTGGCAATGAGAGTGAGTCTCACGGCTTTCGGGTCAAGGGGGTGTTCGTTTGCGGTGTCGATTGATTTGAGTGCTGTCTGAAGGTGTCTGCTAAGTTGAGTGGCGTGCTCTCGATGGTGCGTTGGCCATGTTTGCTCCTGGGGCCATGGGGTTGCCATGGTGCCTACGTCGTTATGGGCTTCGCGACGGGCACACGGCTATCCAATTGACCTTTCGGAGTGTATTGTGGCGCTGTTTTTGCTCCGATTTCAAAAATTTCGTTCTCGCTGTTGTTGATGTTTTTTTTCTTCGGTATGGTCAGCAGTGGCATAATGAATGGGGATAAGTATGTTGGATTGACGACTGTGTCTGGATAAAAGGATGCTAGAAATGCGTTGAATAATATGCAAGAACCGGTGATGATGGGTATATACAAGACAGAACCCGCTCGGATAGGAATGGAAGGAAATCCCTCAATCAAGCACAAGAATCACCTTTTGACCAATGGACCTTAGTAGTATTGGATGAAATCGACATCGTTTATCCAACAACAGAACCCTGCTCGGATAGGAATGGAAGGAAATCCCTCAATCAAGCACAATAATCACCTTTTGATCCATGGACCTCAGTGGTGTTGCATGAAAATTAACATCGTTTGTCTAACAACTTTGTCCCACCTTCATGATGCTGCTAGCGGCCATACGGATGATCTGTCAGTTTGTAGGCGCGCGGCACGACGCAATGGGGACTTCATCAGTACGCCACTTTCCTTCTGGGTGGCGCAGAAGCCGGTCCATCGTGTGAGGTGCTTGCCAAGGTCCAGAGCCATTGGCTACTATATAGACCCACCAAATTCACCCGAATAATCCGAATGTTTTGGAAGCGCCTGCAGTACAGTCGGGTACAGCAATAGATAGGAAAGCATCGGAATCTACGCCACTAGCATCCCCTGCTCCCCATACGGTGCCCTATGCCATCCTCTTCGGATGATCCCCGCTTCATTGCCGCTGTGGTCGTCACCCCTGCAATTTACGGTCGGCGCTTGATCAATGTGGCATTTGGTCTATAAATGAGTACCAAGAGCCGCCTCTCATTAACATTATCTAAACCGTCCTGATCTTGCATAGAATTTTTACTGCACGCTTTTTACTAGAACTGAACTTACATCGACATTTGAATCGTCGTCTTTTACTCAAATCCCGCACGATGCCCTCAGATAAGGATCGTCTATACATCGCCCTGTATGCCAGAGGAGGCGCACCGAAGATGCCAGGTCTTGAGGACACGTCTGGCCTTCCTCCCACAGCATTTTTGTGCAACAAGACTAATAAATGTGTAGTTATCATTGGGCGTACATCGTAGGCCCCAAGACGGAGTCAGTTGACAGCTACGGGAGACGGTATCATGCTAAGGAGACGATGACTCTCGAAGGCACACCTCCAACGCTGAAGTCGCGCTGGGTTTTTGAAACCCGTGAAACTTCAATGGCGCCTACGTCCATGCTTCTAATCCGGGTGGTTGTCGCCAAAATCAAGGACAGGCATCGGCTTCAGTCTATTTTTGAGGGCACGCCTCTTCGACCAGAAGTCGAAGACTGGAACTGCGTCGGATGGGCAAAGGAGGGATTTGAGAGTGCACTTAGAGATGGCAATGTTCTCGGCACCTCTGCCGTTAGCTGGAAGTCGGTCCGTGACACAGCCATGTGGTATATCGAGAAGAAAAAGACCGAGCATCGGTTTGATGGAACTGCGATTTGTGACCCAACCAAGGCGCCAACATGGGACATGTTGGAGAACAAAGAACTTTCGCCATAGCCGCGAAAGCTGACCAACGCGCAGCGACACAATAGAAAACTGCCAAGATCCAGATAATGGTCATTTCAAGTAGCGCCGAAGTAGTTGCGACGTATACTTTCCATCCTCAGCTCATACGGCATGGGAGCCAGAAACTTGTCCACCTCTTGCTGCCAGAACGGATTCTGGGGGCTCACAAACCACGCAGACGTATATTCCCAGTAGGAGGGCAGCCAGCCTGCCGTTTCCCAGTCGACAATGCCGACGACATCATCACCCTTCACTAGCACGTTGAAGCTGCTCAAATCTCCATGTGTGAAGGCCAGATCTTCATCCAATCGACGGTAGAAATGAAGGAGTTCCTGGAGATCAGGAGGCTGGTTCTCATACCGGACTTCAAAATCGGCACCATTAGCAAGCTCCTTATGGAAGTCCTGTACCGCAGCAAAAGGACCCCAAAATGACTTGCAAGGCAGGCGACAGTCGTAGATAGGACCACCGTCAATATTAGCGATGCCGAGACCCTCTGCCGGGGCGATAGCGCGCAGTTGGGAAACCATGCCGCATAGCTGATTGAGTATCTGTTTTCTGGATGCCTCTGACCGTTTCTCCCAGCCCATCCATGCCATCTTGCCATCAATCTTGCTCATCACGATGTACGTCATCCCTCGGTGGACGAAAGCGGAGTAAACCTTGGGAACTGGAACAGATGTGTGTTGAGCGACGAACTGCATCGTGTGTGCCTCGGCCAGACTTGCGTACGGTTTGACCTTGATGCAAATCCCAAACACCGCAGGCAGACCGATCTGTGGCTTCCAGATATGCTTAAAGTATTTATTCGTCTTGGTCCATACTACCAAAAGCGTCAACACCCGGACTAGACGCCCGGCGTTGATCGGTTCGGTTTCCCCCATTCGTCCGTCGCGTCGGGTTCCTCGGAATCGTTTGTACGGAAGGTTGGAAATGTCGCCGATTTTCGGTCCACGGATCGCGATCTAATTATGAGAGCTTTGGCTGCAGCGTGCTGGAGGTCTGGGACATAATGCACGTCGGAGGTGGTTCAACTTGAGTTGAAAATCAGCGGAGGTGTCTGGTGGTAGAAAACCTTTAGTTGTGTACGATTTGATTTGATTTGATTTGGTTGATTCCAACTCGGTTTCGGCCACTTTAGCCAGCAGCTATGCCCGGATAGCGGGATTTGGTCAATAGCCGACGCGCTCCGGGGATTAATCCGCAGCACCCCACTTCGGCAATGCAAATCACTGATCAGCCGTCTCCAAATCTCCCACTTTGCTCTCCTACCTCATCTACCCCTGGCGGCCACCAAATGTAGTTGCGGTTCTTCACTAATGCACACGTATGTCTAGGCTCTATTGAGGTCGTTCTCCATCGTACAACGGTTCAGCGTACTTACAGTCTCCCCCCAATTTTCAGCTTAGTCTGGTTAGTCGTTACTAGCGCCATCGTACGACAGTCCATCTTCTCGGTCGCTGGAGCGTTACTCGGCATTTCGCTGAAATTGCCCTCCGACAGGATTGCAGAGTGAAAGAGTGAGACCCACGTAGCCATTCTTTGGGGATCAAAATCCGGTGCCGACTGTTCCAAGCGTACCGCGTACTTTGATATTGTGGTGCTTCATCTTTCCAAGCCTGGGAAACTTTCGCCCTCCAGGCGGAAGGCCCTCCAGAGAGAAGAGCTTCTGGTCATGTATGCCCCGCAATGACCTTCGTATAAGCAAAACACAGATTCTTCCCTGCTTTGACATAACCACACGTTGTCCTTGGCCTTCAATCCGACTTCATCTCAATACCTCTCCTACGGAAGCCGTTTATCCCTCGGAAAGGGCCACCGTGCCGAGGGTCTGAACGTAGGTGACCTATGCGTGATAATCTGACAAGAAGCGAATGTGAACAACTAGAATCGATTCTGATGCAGCGTTCTCCCCCCTGTACGTTGTTATGAGGCAACGGTGTTGTCGTCGGCCTAAAAACGTACCACGGACTGAGGCCCGACGCAAGAGCGGGAGGGTATCTAAAAAATGACCTGTCTTCGATTTTCTGTGTTCGCTATCACATCGCCGTACTATGGCAAGCTAAGCATCGCACGCGGCCGGTCGAATTGTGGCTGATCGACTGATGAACTTCTGTGAGCTCCGGATCCCGATAGATTGGAGAAGGAGCGAAACGTCGGGCTACGTATGGAAAGTCTCGTACGTCTCGGCATTGGTATTGTTCGTCAATTGCTGAGGATGCGTAGAGTTTATTCCTGCTGCAGGAGGCCGACCATGCTTTAGTCTGGACGTACGTTAGTCTTGTGACTTCAGCGGAGAAAGCATCTCTTAGTGGTATGGCTCGGCGACCAACATGGACGGTATTCAAGACAGCAGTTAGGTCTTCTTTCTATGCCAGACCGATGGTCGGCAGAGAGTACCTATTGTGTCACCAGTGTGTAAATTTGATCGGTCGCACCCATCAAGACCTCTACAACACTTGCGCCGTGATGCATACGGAGGAAGGCGTGAAAAGCCATACTAGGCAGTTGCAGGAGATGGTCTTGTCAATGCCCACGGCACGCTTGACCGATGGTGTCCCGTACCAATGTGGGCCTCTACAGCAGACTTAGGTGGCCTACACCCGGGGCAGGGAGCAGCCAGCAGACGCTTGTATGAGGCCGACATTTCGTATACCCACGAGAGCAGATAGCCGTCAGCTATCCTCGACGGCATCAGTTTGCGTCGACTCGCTGGACCGCAAGTAGCGTCTGTCACTTGGCTCACGGAACTTGTTAGGCACCTTCCCTCTTAATTTGGCCCCCTGACGTCACTTACACAGAAGGTGGTAAATGGCTGATAGGTTCAAGGTGGTGCCAGAGCGCTTGGGGTTTTTGTCGGCGTCCTTAGGCCAATGCTGGGGATGTCGAAGGATCCTTAGAGGGTCTATCAATTGACAGTTTCCGATCACGTAACCGGTCAGTCCGGCCACGAGAGTGATTCGCAGCAGTCGAAGGGCCTGAGAGTGTCTTGTCCTTTTCTCGGAAATTATTAATCGCTCGCTCTGATGTTAGAATCAGGTGCAGTATGCTGTGGAGTAACCAGAGCCACGATAGGCACTGCTATGATGAGTGCAGAGACGAAACATGAAGTGCATGGCAGAGGTTGTGGAGCGTAGTGTACACCACCACTCTTGTGGGAAGGCAGCGAGGTATGGAATGAGCTCTGGGCAAGTTGCGACATATCTTGGCATCCTGCCATGTGTCCCTGTTGCTTACCATGGAAAGCGCCGCCCTTCTACTATGGAGATCGGGAAACGTACTCACTCGCAACCATTCTCCGGTGTCAATTTCGGTTCACTTCTACAGGCCTCTATTTCTGTAGGTTAGCAGACTACTCCAACAGAACACTGCCTATTCTATGTTGCTATCTCCGGGTGTTGATAGCTCTGTCGTCACCACTATGGCTGCGTGTGCCTACTTGCTATCCTTGACATTCCCAACTACGAACAGTAACTACAAACGCAACCTCTGACACGTCACGTACCATCAGCAGTAAAAGTCGGTTAAAGGAGCTTGGCACAAAGGAAACTCCGGTCAACGCAGGATCTCCATCGCCATTTCCAAGTCCTGAATTTCCTTCTTCAATCTCTCCCTATAGTCCCTCATCCGGCGAGATTCCCCTGCCACAAGAGGAAGCCTTTCGAGGTCCAGATTAAGGACCCATTGCTCTGAGAACAGCCACAGTGGGCTTTTAGGGCCAAAGAGCAGCTTAAAGAGGACTGCTTGCCTGAAGACGTTGTCGACGACCCGCTTGTAAGCCACCTTGTAGTAGGCCTCGAGGGTATCGTGGATGGTCTCTATAGCGTATGCCGTGTTACTCTTGTTCGTGACTGCGTCTGCAACATCGTCCAGAGGAACCATGAGCAGAGAAGTACCCTCATAATACTGTTCGTGTCGGGCTATGGAACGTAGCGTTTCCTGGATCCGCACGCCATGACTGCGTTGATTATTATGGTTGAAATAATGGTTCAGCGTGTACGGGCTGATTTGCCGTTCGACGTTGACCAGCAAGATCGCCTCGCTCATTCCGGCTTCATACTTGAGGCAGAGGTCGCTTAGTATGGCCGATGTAACGCTTTGGAGCACTTGAGTGTCTATACAGACGGCTTCTAGTGCCACGAGGATGAACCTATGGATGAGGAGAATGACCTTGCTAAGATACTGCTTCGCCATCATCTCCCATTTTGTCGATTGATCAAGGAAAACACTTGAAAGAACACCATGACCGAGTGAGCCAAGGTCAAGGCTACGGGAGCGTTGATAAACAGTCTCGATCCACTTCATGATACCCTTTTTCGGAGATTCAGTGGTCCAATCCGTCACAATGATTCTGTCCAGGTCAGGGAAGGCCTCGGGATGAGGTATATCAAACATAGCAAGCTGCAGGTCAGTATCATCTTGCTCCTCCTCCTCTTGCGCCGAAAACACGGGGCTTACGAGAGGAATCGGTTTAATTGGAACTGGATTTTCGACTTGCGGCTCTGTTTCGAAAAGGTAGGTGCGGCCGTCCTTGTCGAAAATAGCGTTGAATTGGTCCGTCGTGTTGATGATGGCTGTGATAAGACGGCACGTGTTGTTTTCAAATATTGGATGTGCCGAGTAGTCGGCATTCAGCGTGGCACGAACCAGAGACTGGAAGTTGCCTGCAATGCCGACGAGATATTGCTGTTGCTCTCGCTCTGTCTGGCGAGGCGCGCCGAGACTCTTGAGTTTCTCCTCGGCATTTGCCAGTCTCTGGCGTGTCTCACTACGTAGCTCAGGAAATGCACGATCGGTGATCTCGCCAAGGAGGTCCTCCAAGCGCTCGCGTAAGGTTGATATGCCGTAACGATCCTCCGGAAGGCTGTCCCAAGGATGTTCTAGGAAGATGGCCTCACGCTCGCGCAGCGCAGCTAACGCATCTTTCTCTTCACCGTGGTCATCACCCCCGCGATTCGTGACTACGTGGTATCCAAGCTTGAGGGGTTTTCGTTTGCCTTCTACCAGGCTCACAACGGCAAGTCTGGCGCTCCGTTCTTTCAGCAGATCGGCCTTGGTTAAGATCCCGAGAGTTCGGTCACCTGCCGGGTCAGCCTCCTCTGCAAGAGAAAGGATTTCCTGGGTCGCGACATCGACATTGCTGGGAAGGACTGCCAGGATGACGGTGCGACTGTCCTTGATATATCTTTGAACCATATCCCTAACGAGTGCCTTATCCTTGTTCGTAGTGACACCTTCCGTGGTGGTGCGAAAGATACCGGGTACGTCAATGATGGTAAGGTAATCTTCGCTTGGACCACATTTCTCGATTTTCAACACGTCCTCGGAAAAGGTGTTCTCGCCAGCTGTGTTGAAAATGGTTCTGATGCCCATAAGAGCGTTGGCCTGAAGTGATGATTAGAAACAAAGCTAATCTCAAAGTAGGTTCGTCCCGTTACCTGTGCCAAGATTTCGGGGAAATCTGCCCGAAGCTGGGCAGTCGTCTGCACCTGACTGTGATACGACTCAAGTCTTCTTTTGTGATCCTGCGACGCATGTGGTCCAGGAATGATCGTGATATCAATTCGTTGCTGTGCCTCCCTTCGATGGGTAATCTGGGTGGCGTAGCGCGTACAAAGTTCCTGGCCGCGAGGGAATGGGATTCCCGTCAGGCTCTCCAACAAGGACGACTTCCCCGAGCTCTGATCACCCACGGCGACGAGTTGTGGCAGCGGTAGGTAAGTCCCGATATTCCTTTCGCGAAGTCGATCGATCTTCTGAAGGCGGTCCGGACTCGTCAAGGGGGGATGTTGGTCAGCAGGCTCAGGAGACATTGCGATAGAGTGAATCATGTGAAAAGGAGGATTTTGTGTGGAAGCCGGAGTCAGGAAAGAACAAGTCGAAG